ATTTTGACCTAATATCACCAAATGTTAAGAACAGAGGAACGAGCGGATATCAATCAACTTTTTGATATTGGTTGAAAAAAACAAAAATTGACTTAAAAAAAGGTAAATGTTAAATATATATACAATTCGCTGAGTTACGTATTGGTAAGGGTGAGGGATGTACAAGTGTGTTTCTTCAGTTTGTTATGTCGGTAGTGGTTCCGCGTATAGAGGAGAGGGTCCTCATACTTGCTAGCCTGAGTTATATATAGTGGACTAGTTGAAGAGGCATAATAACTAACTCAATTAATTTCCATAATGTTGAACGTGTCAAAATTGAGTAAAGTTGATTGCGGTTCGGGCCAGGAGTGGAAGACAAGAGAGAACATACACAACGGCCCTTTCCACACTTGAAGATAGGTTCAGTCCTGAATTTATAGTTTTCACATGGCATATTCGAGATTTAACAAACGCGCCAAGAGACGACCCTTGCATTTAAACAAAGAATTTATATTAAAATAGTACATTTATGTGCTCTTTTTCATTACGACGGAACTGAGACTTTAAATATCACACCTTATCATTCTATTAATCGCACGATTGTTTTTCTATGTTGTTTTCTCATCGATTTGATCAAAAGTGGATTTTTTCAAAGCATTAATGATTTTTCTTTACTAAACTTCATGAACCTAGCCAACTAGATCCTGGGACTTGGCACTAATTTTTTAACTAACCATGCTTTGTTTAATAATTTACTTACACTTTTTTTGTTCTTGAATGTTTTTCTGTTTTTGAATTTCAAGTTTTCGTTAATAATATATAAGTCGATTTTTTTAAACGTAGGATACGAATTCCTATGTAAGATCGTATTAAATGAACTTAGATACATAAACAGTTACAAAATAGAGAAGAAGCTTTCAGTAAAGTTATAAATTAAATTAAATCATAAAAAATTAGTAGGCATAGAAAAAACGAAGTCAGATTCGTTTTATGTAACTAATAAAGCTCGCAATTACGATTTTTATAGACAACAAAAAAATAAACATTTTTCGCTGGATCAGACCTTTTTTTACCTATTGATCTACTTACAAAATTCGTAAATCCTCTGAATTTTATCCAATATCCACAAGTAGGTGGGACTGTTCTAATATCAAATTACAACCACGACGTTTATGGTTGTTTTAAAGTAAGAAAAATTAAAATAATTTTAATTTTAATTAAATTTACTTAAATTAAACGATTAATTAAAATATATTTTTTTAAATTATAAAATCAACAGAAATACTTCAAATATTTTTTTTTCATCTCCGGTACTAATTTATTTACGAAGACGACGATTGTACCTTTACGTGGTCATACGGTTCAAATTTTATATGGTTTCCCGCAGATCAGTAGGATCAATTAAAAGTTATCATTATTTTTATGATTAAAAAATGATTTAAATTAATATATAATGAAAATATGATTGATATATGATTTTATCAAAATTTGATTCATGTGTTTATTGGAGCGGGATAAACGAATATCCACTTTATTATGGTATATAGTTAGTATGTACCTACAATATTCATAATATTGCTATTTGCTAAATACTTACACTTAAAATATTTTTTTACTTTATTTAGAAATCGTGAGGTGCGGTCTGATGTGATGTAGGTTTCAGAAAAACATTTTCTTTATCGTGCCAAAACCTACAAAACTCTGAATCCTACATCACACCAGACCGCATCTCACGATTTCTAAATAAATATCGATTAACGGTCACTAATCACCACACATATTTTTTTACCAAGAAACGAAGTCGATATTCATTTTTTAAACGCTAAGCAAACCCAAAATACAAAGTTTCGGTAAAAAAAGCCTATCAAATTTTTGCAGTCTAAATACCACGGATTTTTATTTTGAAAATCACAAAAATGGTGATAAGGATGCAAAACTCAACTTACACGAAATGACACAAACGTCGCCTCCATTCGCCTCCATAAATAAAATAAAACCTGATATATAATATAAAACGTTTAATAAGGTTTCATTAATTTCATTCTTATTTTTCTCACTTATAATACAATAAAATAAAATCAAAGGTTGTTTTTATAAAAAATCCAGCTTTCCAACCGTTCTTATATCGCGGACATTTGATAAAATCCAAAGGATTCATTTTTTAAGTGAAACCTCGGACGTTGGAGTATAAAATTTGCCTCCGGCTGATCCAGCTCAAAAATTAATATTTTTTGTTCAATGTGACATTCCGTATTAAAAGGGTGGTTGGAAGGACTCGGAATTATTTGTATACAAAATAATTGACCTATTGTATATATATATTTTATTACATGAGATTAGATATATAAAATGTAGAACAACCAAAAAAGACAGTAGGTCAATTATTTACCCCGGACTCTTCTTGAAGAATGGGCTAACATCCAGAAAAGAGAAATTTCCAGACTGATAGAAAGTATGCCGAGGCGTCTTGGAGATGTAATTAACGCAAGAGCCGGAAATACGCGATATTGAATTTAATACAAATTTTATCTGTCAGTCTTTTTTTTTTAAATTTGCCGTTTTCCTTATCAATTAACATTTTGTTTTACTTTTTTAGACAAAGACTCAATTATTAAACGTTAAAAAACGTGAAAATTTGATAAATATATACAAATCACGTTATATTACAAGTGGGTGGAATTTTTTGCCTGTCAGTGTATTATAAGAATCAAGTTTAGTATATATATATATATATAAAGTGGAAGGTTTATGGGCCGACAAACAGCTGAGGTCATCGCCGGCCCTCCGCATGTATTCCTTCTCTTTCCTGTCTTTCTCGCGTATTTTGTATTGAACTGCAGCCATTTGAGCATCTCGATCTGGTTACTGACTCTCTGCTTTTACTTGTATATTACGTCGTTATTTTAAAAAGCTAGCCTCTTGTTAGTACCTCAGGTTGTCAATTTAAGAAT